CTATATTGAGTGCTTTCATTTAGACAGCTTCATAAATTATGCTATTAATGATCTAGTTTTGATCTGAGTTTTAACAGCCCATTTTTCCATCCCGGAACCGGAAGGTCTATTTGAGAAGGAAGAGCTGCGCATCTCAGTATATTCATGCCGCAAGACATTCCTTTTCCACCAGAGGATGATATACAGCCTGTCTTCAGAGGATAGAAATTAGATTGACAACATTTCTACAGTCTAAATGTGGTGTGCTAATTAATACACAACATGCTTCACAGAGAGTGTCAGATTCAAACTAAAACCCAGACTGAACATTCGAGTAGAGACCTGCGCGGGACGGATTTTTCCGTCCCGCCCGCTCCCGCAGAAATATATCTTATTTGCTCCCACTCCCGCCCGGGACATTCATGTTTTGTCCCGCTCCCGCCCGCAAAAGCCCACATAAAAGTAATCTATATAGATTTTTTTCAGCACATCGAAGAAATTTACATGAAATGGTTCTGTAACATCTCCCAAGATCCACAGCATCCCAGCATAAACACTCCCGATAAAATATTTGTTATTTAGGCTAAGCATCAGCATTCACAAACCACTGTTATTTTTAACAGAAAAATAAGCATGGGCTGCTGCGTGCATGGTTTGGCATGGCAGAATGCGAGCAGCGCTTCCTTTATTATCACTAAAAGCTGACATCTCAGTTAATCGCGATCTCATAAAGCTCTGTTATAACACAATAAATGTATGAACAATGAATCTTTCACAATGTCTACACTTCGTGTGTTAAAATGAGAGGATTTGTGAGCACGCAATTTCAGCACTGCGGTGAGTGGATTCTAACTTAATCACCTCTGATTGGCCATTGCGTTCCAGAAATCAACAGCTGAGTCTGTGATTGGCTACATTGCGCAACCCTTTAAACACGTGTTATAAATAGAAACTATGCCTAGCTTGCGCATGTCAATCATTTTAATGTTAATATTAGTTGTTCTTTTTGCTTTTGTGCAAGAGATAAATAACAATTTATATGTTTTAGACACTTTATTTAGATCATTTCTATTTTGCGGGAGTCCCACGAATCATTTTATTCTCCCGCATCCCGCACACACACACGCGTCTCCCCTCCCGCCC